ACCGTGGTCCCTGTGCTTTGCTAAGCTTGTTCTAAGTAGGTGCTTTAGACCACTGAGCCATCTCACCAGCCCTAGAACAGGCATTTTCAAATCCTACATTGAGTTGCACTTGACAATAAAATAAGCTGGGACCTGCTACATAGTAGGGACCCAAGGAATCCTCTCTCATAGCCATTTCCTAGGGCTGACATTTCGATATTGATGTAAAAAAATAAGGAGGTGTGGAGATGCAGCTTGGTGGCAGAGTACCTGCTTAGCATGAGTAAGATATTGTGCTCATTAAATCCTCATCACTGAAAAAAATGAATTAAGGCATTCTAGTCATTTTTCAATTTATTTATACATCTACAACAGCACATCTTGAGATGTTGTCATTTTCTTACTGCTGAGAAAACATGCTGTAAATTTAATAATTGCAATGTGTCCAAATCCATCTACTTAGTGTGGCATTTTTCAAAGTGCCCTTTTAAAGAAAATGCATTTGTTAACCAAATTACAATCAAATTTCTTTGAACAAATCTACTGGGGAAAGAATTGGACATACAAAGGGGTAAATACAGGGTGACTTTCATAGATGTATTCATTGCTTTAAAAGAACGCTACCTTGAAATTCTTCAAAACAGTTCTATTAGAACACATCTTTTGTCCAAATTTAGGTACACCTGCATAATATCCAGCCCAAGAGAGAAAGGAAACAATGTTTGTAAAATATCTATGAAAAGGGCTTGGAATTTGTCCTTGGCTGTGCTTTGCTGGAGTGTGATATGCAGGCAGCTTATTCCCTAGCGCTGGACTGGTTGCTTGGAGGACAGAGGGACTCTAAAGTGATTAAGACACCCATGTCAGGAGGGAGCCACTCTCCTTGTTGAGAAGACCACATACTGGAGAAGGCTAGTGACAACATCTATCAAGAAAGCAGGTTGAGCCTATAATCCTGGCATTCTGGAAGGGTCACACATTCAAGTTCAGCCTGGGCAATTTAGAAAGATCCTATCTTAAAAACAAAATCAACTGAAATAAAAAAAATAAATAGATCTGCAGGTGTAGTTCAGTGTGAAGGCTTTGGGTTCCATCCCCAGTCCTGGAGGAAGGACAGCCTAGGGAAGGAGGGAGGGAGGGAGGGAGGGAGAAAAGAAAGAGAAAGCTGTCCAGTAAACAGTGAGTCAAATGTGAAACACACAATTCATTCTCACCACCAGGAGATATCTAACTTCCTGAAATTACCTTAACAGCTTTTTACTCCTGGTGTTCAGTTATCTCTGAGCACACAACCAGTGACTCGGGGACTCCTGCAAATGAACTTTTTGAAATAGGAGCAATACTGTAAGAATCATAATATTCCTTAATAAGCTCTACTACTGCCAAATACATTCAACTTTTTGTTTACTTGTTTATTTCCAAAAATATTGGGAGAGTAGAAACCTCAAATACTGTGAGACCCATTTTCACTGTGAGTGTTACATCATTATGACATTCATCCTGGAGTTTTCAAAGTGTCATCTACATCTATTTTTATATCAAAATTACCATGGCTGGCTTGTAAAGTCCAAGAAACATAAGAAATTCAACAACGGGGGCCGGAGAGATAGCTCAGTAGAATAAGCGCTTGCCTGGCAAGCACAAGGACCTGAGTTCAATCCCCGGTTCCACCAAAAAAAAAAAAAAAAAAAAGAAAAAAAGAAATTCAACATTAAGAGCCTGCTGAGCCAGGGAGATAGCTCAGCAACATAAGCTCCTGCCTGACAAGTACAAGGTCCTCAGTTCCACTGCTGGTAACACACACACACACACACACACACACACACACACACACACACACATTTCAGTCCAGGGACATGTTCTGCTGGTTTGTTACTGGCTTGGTTTCTTGTTTTTATTTATTTAAAATTTTTCTTTTTCTTTTTTTTTTGGGGGGGGGCTGCCCCTTAGCTCAGTTCTTTAAGTGGCTGCTTCAACAAAGCAGTCAGGCTCAGGTTGCTGTGGTTCGATCCCCACAACTCAAGCCAGCCAAACCTGCCCTGAAGGCATTTGAAGCAAAAAAAAAAATATTGAACTCAGGTCCTTGTGGTTGCCAGGGAAGCGCTTAGTCTACTGAGCCATCTCCCTGGCTCCTATTTAAAATTTTTATTTCAACCTGTTGAGAGACAGTATAGACATGTCCTAGGTCAGTGATGCTGCACTTTTCAGAGCTTCCAGTGACCAACTTCAGCAGGCTACCCGTGCCATAGTACAGGTTCACTGCCTCTAGGAGAAAAGAAGAAAAAGATAAACAGGAATCTGCGTGGTTTGCAAAGGCAGGGGAAATGACAAGCTCACCACAGAGTCTAGGAGGCTGCCCAGGTCAGACCAGGGGAAGGAGCCAGGAAGGGCCAAGGCTACAGCAGGCTTGTGCCGCTGGGATGGGAGGAAGCAGTCCCTCAGAGACTGGCTGAGCCTTTTAGAATCAGGAGAAGGAAACAATGCTGGGCAGAACTGAAGATGTAACAATTACCAGCCCCTGCCGAAGATGGAAACTGCAAGCCCATTAGCTTGTAATTTTCCAAAAAGTCATTCCATAAAATGGGTGAGGAGCAATCTACTCAATTTGTCAGGTAATTCAAAACTGGGTTGTTAACCTGTGTAGAAGAGGCAGGATCATGACCACTCACTCTGAGGTTCCTAAGGAAA